TATATTTTAAAAAAAATTATTTATATAATTATATGAAATAAATATAAATATTTTTTTAAATAACATAAAAATATATTTATATAATTATATTATTAATATATTTTTATAAATATAGTAAAAATATATTAAAATATAATAAAAATATTTATATATTTCTATAAAAAATATTATTTTTACTTATTAAAATTATTTTATATTAAAAATATATTTAAATAATATATATAATTTATTTATGTAAAAATGTTATATAGAAAGATATAAATATATATTTATTAAATTTTATTATATTTATAAAAATATAAATAAATATTTAAATATTATATATATTAAATATATTTGTTTTTACTATATTTATAAAAATATATTAATAATATAGTTATATAAATATTTTTTAAAAAGAATACATATATATAATATTTATATATATTATATAAAATATATATATTTATATTTAATTATTATATTTAATAAATATTATTTTATTTTTAAAATTATATTAATTAGTGGGGTTGAAATTCGGTCTCCTAATAATTGAATTCCAACTGTGTAAGAAAATTGTGTTAGTCGAGGTAAATATTGATATAATGATATTATTTCTAGATTATAAATTTAATAGGATGCTAGTGAAAAAAAAATCTCGAAATATTTGACTTTTTATAAAAGTGTGGTACTCATATAAAGTATACTATATATGAAAATTTATATTAAAATAATGGTAAGCGGAAAAAAAAATCAATATACATTCCAATTATCTCACTAAAAAACGTAAAAAATCATAAATAAATTATATTTAAGTCTATCTTATGTTTTTTTTTGATATACTTCAAATATTTCTCCTAATAAAGTTTTGAATTTTAACTCATGGATAATCCAGTGGTTTAATTGCATCCTAATATATTCACTTTGATTTTTTTAAATGGTGAAAATACTAATAAATTTAAATTTTTTTTATATATTAATAGGTTGATATATTTTTATTAATAATGATAAATAATTTATTTTTTCTTAACCAAAAATATGAACTCATTACTTATCTATTAATATCTAATAATAAATCTATATTAAGAGTTGAGATAGTTTATAATTTTACTCCATGATGATTAGAATTTTTTTAAGGAGTAATCTTGTTTAAATTATTAAAAAAAAATCGAAACAAAACTCGACTGTGAAAATATATTGTTTTCAAAATTTTAGTTTTTCTTTTAATTTTAACAATATTTTCACATACTTTTTTTTTAATTATAGTAGTGCTATTTAGCATGAAGCATTATATAAGTAAATCAATGCTATTTATTGAAATAGATATTAATTAAGAATATATAAAGTATGAGTTAACAAAAGACACCATTTTGGTGCATCAATTTGAAGAAATACTATTTGTAAATATTAAAATTAATCTAGCATTAATTTGTAAAACATATGATAAGAGTTTTGAGTAAATTCTAAAATAAAAGAAACAATGAACTAATGTAAAAGAGGCTTTAGTTGATTAATTTAAAGTTTCAAAGCAAAATAAAACTTTAATCACACTATAAGGAAGAAACAAAAAAGAAAAACTGAAGTTGACACAATAGTGTGGATGCATTGATAAACTAGGAGCAGTTTTTATGCTTTGTTATTGATATGCATAGAGTTTATGTTTATCTTTGGCAACAGAGACAGATTCACATAACTTGACAACATGATCCAATTATTGTTGGAGTCAAAGCATGCAGAGATGAAGGAGTTAGGCACGCATATAGCCAAAATTCTGGCTTCAATGATTCGCATGGACACAACTTAAGAGCAATCCATTCACCTTTCACTATCTATTGCTACTCTTATTTATCTTTACATATATCCAATATATACAGTCCTTTCAATTTACTTTCCCAACAATATAAATTAATAATAATTTTATTAGAATAAAATACTATATTTATACACTCTCAATTATACATAATTCTATCCGATGTAAGATCAAAGGACAAAAATAATTTTTTTTAAATACTTAATAATAATTTTAATGAAATCAAAAATTTATTTATTATCGTGTATATATATGAGAAAACTTCCTTTTCTTATTTGTTCTGGTAATTATTATAGTGTATACACTTACAATGAAAAATCATTGTTTAAGATTATGATTATTATAATATAATTTTTATTTTACTAAATTAATTGTTTTTAATTTTATAATCTTATATAAATTTAAATAATTCATATAAAAACCCTTTTTAATAGTTAAACATTTATTAAAAACAAATATTCTAACTTACTTTTGTAATTTTTACCTGATAATTTATTTCAACAGTAAATTATTAAGTAATATTATTTAGTTTTGATAAAATTTTATAAACAATTCCATAACTATTTATGTATAATTTTATATTGATTTTTTAATAATTTAATTGTTTAATATTTTAATAGGTTATTAAATTGTTAATGATTTTTAATTATTTTTTATAGTGTTTTTAATTCATTATTTAGTGTATAAATGAATAAAAAATAATGGTGATGTTTTTTAATATTACTTTTGGAATAATTTGAATTCTTTCTTTTATATTAAAATTATTAGATTAAAAAAAAGATGAAAAATAATTCCTTATTCTTGAAGTATGTTCATTCCTCTGTGTTCATATTTATTTTTAATTAATTAATTTGATATATTTGATTAAATTACTATTCTTGATTGATTTTATTTAAATTAAGATAATATAATTTTGTTAACTTTAGTTATGTAAAATGTCAAAAACTTGGCGTAAAAGAAATAAGATAGTATTATTTAAAATTAGGTATAAGATAAGAATTAGAGACGTGGGTACGAGGATTAGGGAAGCTTGCAGCATATTTATTTATTTTTAATTATTTGCAACATGATGAGTTTCTTTTCCTATATTTATTATTAAAAAATTAATACACATAAAAATAACAGTAAAAGATTATTTTTATTTTGCAATATTAATAACATATCAATCCGATTAACTACGACAAAATTAAAAAATGATTAAAATAGATATAAATGAACTTATAAATTTTAAATTTGATTAATTATTTATATTGTAAAGAAAAAGTAGCGGAAAAATAAAGAACAATATTTTTATAAAATAAATATAATAATAGTTTATTTAACCGAAATATGACTCGTAAAAAAAATTCATATGATACAATAATTACATAACAGTATTTTTTTGTTGTTGCTTATATTTTATAGTTTGTTTATGGTATAAATAAAGAAATCTCCTATTTTATTTTAAATTTAATTTTAAAAATTTAAATACAATATTTTTTTTTGCATTTAATTGACATTTTTTTATTTTAAAAGTATTTGTTTAAATAAGATAATTTAAACTTATTAAAAAAATAGATAAAGTGTTTTAATTATCATTAAATAAAAATATTTTTTCATTAAATAATATTTAATAATTAAAAAACACCTATCCATAATATTTTTTAATTGATGTTGATCAAGATTATTTTTTGACAAAGTCTATATAGATTTTTTGACATAATAATATTTTTTAAAATTCAATTGATGTGAGACAAAGAATCTTGACAAAATTTGACAGAAATAACATTGATTTTTGTTGTAATTAGTATTAATTATCCCAGATAAACGTTTGATCTAACAATTAGTATTAAAGCAAAGGTCATGAACCTCCATCAAAGGATAATTAATGCTACGTTGATATCAGTCGAGAAAATCATGACTAACAATACAAAACTAACCTTGATTTATATGGATAGAAAAATAATTTAAACAATATCAAATAAAAAAAACACTTTAACAACATGAACTAAAAAAAATATTGGCTTATATTCCTAGAAAAAATAATTAGATTAATATTGATTAAAAAAATAGACCAAGATTGAGTTAATGATATTGTAATGAAGATTGAGTTGTGCAATGGTTGAATTGAGTCTAATTTGATAACACTTTAATAGAAATAAAATCATTCAACCAAGATTAAGCGAACGATTAAGATCGAATCAAGGATATTTAACGATACCGAAAAAGAATACGAAGAAAAGAGATTAGAAGGAATAATAAGTGAATAATGGAGAGTAGAAGATACTTAGCAAAATGAGCATAACGGGCCTTGGACAGAAATCTCCTTTTTTGGCATAAATAAAATGGTGGGGCCTACGAGTCCAGCGGTGGCAACTGGGACAAACCACTGACACAGAAAGTAAGAAGTGGTAGGGCAAGACGGCATTGGAAGCGAACAAATATTTGAACGAGAGAATGTGATAATTGAGAAGGTTTCAAAGTGAACCGGGAAGTGTGTTACACAGATACATACTTGTCATTGTGACGAACAAAATAAGAGAGAATCCCTCTCCTTCTTATTCTTTATTTATAACTTAACTATCACATAGCAGACAAATTTCAGATCGAATGTTTGCATTCGACACCTTCTATTTGTTTATGCTCCCAATTGAAGTGTCCGACAAAATATTACTATTACATTGTTTCCATCAATTCTATGGGACACCCTTACAATACAATATGATGTTTTCTCCAACTTTCTTTTTTGTTTTTAACATAATTGGGCACAATACCAACAACAAAGAATTGGTAAATAGAAAACCAGATAGAAAAAGTGTACAACCAGCGGAAAATGGTTGCTGTTGCCAGTTGTTGAACTTAACCCCTTCATATTTGGCCATGACATTATTGACCAACACTGTTGAATCAGAATGTTTTCTTCAGCCCCAAGAATGCATCGAAGAATACTTCAAGGTTTTTCACTTCAGAAAATTAGTTATTTCATTCTCCATATGTTCAACAGCATAACATAATGTATATTCATGAATTATGTGCATATACATTTATTTTATTTATCATTATACTGTTACTTTCTAACACCCATATCCAGTTGCAACACTTCTTCACAACACGAGCTTGAGTTTAGGTGTTACAAATGGAGAAATGGTTGTTACTATTGCATTTGGAATATGATTTACAAAAGAGTTCTTATAGCTTTCTTAAAATTTTCAAATTCTTAGTTCTTTAAACAATGATGAAGTCCTTTCACACACTGACTGCAGAAGAACCTCCTTCATCCTCTGTGGCTTTAGAAGCCTCCGAGTCACGCCCCGGCCCTGGAGTGTTCTTCTTCCTTGGGGGGACTGTATTGCTCACCATATTGCTCATTCTCCTGTTTATATTTTGGAGGCGTGGTAAACAGCCAGCAAAGGTGATGGAGAACACAAATCTAACAAGTCAGCAGCATGGTAATTTGAATAAACCATAACATACAAAGCAAAATATGTACTACTTTAAGTTATCTAGATGTCTGCAGCATATTTGGTTAATTTGTTGATAATGTGTTTATAATGATCATACTTCTGTTATTTGTGCTTGGCACTCACCAAAAGGGAAATATATTGAAACGTCTGAGGTGATGAAGATGATAGCCCCAAATATACAACAAGGTATTTGAAAGAAGGCATAGAATGTGTTTGACCCTTGAAATATATTGATGTATTAGAACGTAGCATTGTAAGGCCTCTCTTGAAGTTCCTTTGTGTAAACAGGACCGATGAACTTCATTAGTGGGAACCTTCGGACAATTAGTCACTTTGACTTTCGGACATTGAGGAGTGCCACTAAAAATTTCCATCCTCAGAATCTTCTTGGAAGTGGTGGATTTGGGCCTGTCTATCAGGTATAGGTACTAAATCTTATGTCATTTACTTTGATAGACAATTTTCTCTGTTGATTTTGGGAACCTGATCTCTTAGTCACGATTCATCTATGTTGCCTGAAGACGTGATTAAGGAATAATAAATACAGAAGTTTTAATAAAGATAAGAGGGAGTTGTACCGGCAATCATTGTAAGGTGTGGTAATAAAACTTTTCCTCTTTTGATTCATTAGGAAGGGCACTGGAAGAACTCGTGTGGTAATAATATTTTCCTAACTGTTATGGATTCAAATTTCAATAATTCTGTGTACAAATTGTTGGAATTCATATTAATGGGGGTGTTAAAGAACTTGTGTTTGGTAGTTGAGGCTAGCATAAATGTGTGTACTCTTACTGTGGTTAGCATCCTGAAATTCAATTGTTTTGACAGGGCAAGTTGGCAGATGGAAGGCTTATTGCAGTAAAGACATTGTCTCTTGACAAGTCTCAACAAGGAGAAAAAGAATTTCTGGCAGAAGTGAGAATGATCACAAGCATCCAACACAAAAATCTGGTTCGTCTTCTGGGATGCTGCACAGACGGGCCTCAAAGGATACTTGTGTACGAATATATGAAGAACAGAAGTTTGGACCTCATAATTTATGGTATCCCTGTTTTATTTTATATCAACTTGTCAGCCAAGTGTGTTTATTATATGGAAAATGAAGTCCTTGATAGTTATTGGTGAAAGTACTTTCCTTCAACCTGTGCATCTTGTGTGTGCATGCATGCCATGTCCAATGGTTCATGAGTATTTGAAACAACTGAATAGTCCTAAGGTTTTAAAAATAACTCGTACTTTGTATATTTGTGTGATCAGGAAAGAGTGATGAATTTCTGAATTGGAACACTAGATTCCAAATTATTCTTGGTGTAGCACGGGGATTACAATATCTCCACGAGGATTCGTCGCATTTAAGAATTGTTCATCGAGACATCAAAGCAAGCAACATTCTTCTTGATGAGAAGTTTCAGCCTAGGATTGGAGACTTTGGACTAGCTAGGTTCTTCCCTGAAGACCAAACTTATCTTAGCACTCAGTTTGCAGGAACATTGTGAGTCCTTTATGTTTCAATGTACCAATTGTCGGCCTAAATTCTTGGAACACAACTACTAACATATTTATTAAATAACTTCACTCTAACACTGATCTTGAGATAAAATCTAACATAGGGAGTTATGACACTATTCCAATGAAACTCCTCAAAAGTATTGATCATCACGTTCTAATCAGAGATTAAGTTTCCTATTGATGATCTTTCTTGTCATTTTTGGTCAGAGGTTATACAGCCCCTGAGTATGCCATTAGGGGAGAACTGTCCGAAAAGGCAGACATCTATAGTTTCGGAGTTCTTGTGCTTGAAATCATCAGTTGCAGGAAAAACACAGACCTTACTTTACCATCAGAAATGCAGTACCTCCCTGAATTTGTAAGCTCTCAACTTATTAACCACACCATATTATTCTCCAAAATGCTTGTATAAACTAGAGGTGATTAATTACAGGCATGGAAACTTTATGAGAAGTCAATGTTGATGGATATAGTAGATCCAAAGTTGAGAGAAGATGGCATAGAAGAAAAGGATGCCATGCAAGCATTTCAGGTGGCCTTGTTGTGCCTTCAGCCACACGCGGATTTGAGACCTGCAATGTCAGAGATAGTAGCATTGTTGACATTCAAAGTTGAAATGGTTACCAAGCCAATGAGGCCAACCTTCGTTGAAAGAAGGCGCGTAATGGATGATGAGAACCACTCTTGGGTAGCCATATCCTCGTAGGCTTCCACAACTGCAGTAGCAGAACACACATGATCCTGTTAAATAAGGAACCATTTCCTTAAACAAAAATTATTATTTCACAACCCAAACATACAATCCAAATCCAGAATATGCAGTGTTTTGAGGTTGTGTATTGATTGTTTTGGTGGTGAAACATCATCGTCCTTTCTTAAAAGAAGGAAAATGACAACTCAGGCAAACAATATATGGATTTTATTTACTTAATTAGATGTATATATTCATTATTCAGAAATAAATCATCTCATGTCCTTTGCAGATAGAAGTATTTACTAATAATATTTGACAGAAATTCAACAATGGTTGCAACAACTTCTAATACATTAATTATTTTACACCTACAAAATAAACAAGTTTTTTTTTCTACTAGTGGAAAAAAAAAGGTGATGAACAAACATTTTGTTATCGCTCTATGTGCGACCTTACTCAATAATATAAAAAATCGTTTGGTTTAAATTCAGTTAAAAATGTTGCTTAAAAAATAAAAATTTAGATAAGGATAATAAATTTACTGTATTTGGCGCGCTGGAATTTGTTAACATTATAAAATTCTTCCAAGCAGAAAAAAAAATTATAAAATCCTTCCTTACTCTTTTATGTATAGAATATTACTCAATAAAACAACTGAAGTTTTAATAAATATGTCTGTGCAAAAACATTAGATTAACTTCATTTGTCTTTATTATTTAACCATTTTTGGGAAATAAATTAGGTGTTTGGTTAAACATATTTTTTTTAATGTGTAGACCGTCTTCTCCATGAACACCTTTATAAAAAAAAAAAATTATAAACAAAAATATTTTACATAAATTAAAAACAAAAAGTTTTAAAAATTATATAAAAAACATAACTCAATTTATACATATATATAATTTTAACTTTTAAAAAGATTATTCAAATACATTTAAGTATAAATTTGGATGCATAACTTGAAACTTGCTTAGTTAAAAGTGGAAGGCCCCACATAGCTAAACATTAATTCAGGATTCCACTTTTTATTATATAAAAAACTTTGGTAAACTTTTTAAAATCATATTATTTTATTATGTTTTCTTTGTTTACTTAAACAGAAAAAATAGTTTTTTCTTTTACATTTTTTGTAAGTAGTTGTATTAAAAAAAAGTATTATTATTCTCTCTTTGAATACAAGAAAAAGAAAAAAGGTATTGTTGTTCTTTCTTAAATATTCATTCCTTTAGTCTCAAATTCTACTATATTTTCAGCTGTATTTTTCTTTTCTCATTTTTATTTTACAATTAATATGTTTTGTTATAATATACTATCATATTATTATTTTAATATATTGTTTTAGTTAGAAGAAAACCTATCTATCATCAATGAGTACTTTAGTGGAAATATCCAATTATAATACAATTTTAAAACATAACTCTTTGTCAGCTTAAATTTGTATTAAAAAAATAATTAAGGTACTACTAATATTTTACTTTTGATTCTTTGTAAGAAAAATATAATAAACTAAATGAAAAACGGTTGAGTTTTTAAAACAAATGAAATAGTTATATACTACATCAAGAAAATAAAAAGTCTTAATTTTATGTAATATTATACTTTTATTTTTATTTTTTGTTGGGTGTAGTAAGAAATTCTGACTGAGAGAGACAAAAAGAAAGGAAGAAGGCATGCATCCTCTTTGACTAACTATTTTTTCTCCACCCTTCTCAGTGTTTTGGCTCTTTTGAATTGCCCAAAGGATGAGATGATACACTCATGCAATCCTATGAACAAATATAAAATAATCGTAACCTCGAGATATACTACGATGGAAAGAGACCCTAAACAAGAATGGAAAAGCACCATGGTTTGTGTCAAAAAGTAGCTTTTGGTGCGAAAAAAACAGGGAGACAAAGACAAAAGAAAAACGACTTTTGTGTATGTATGTGTGTTAAGTTTACCCTTCCAATTAATACTGCATGGCAGATAAAATAACCAGAGTCACAGGCTCCACATTCAATTCTTCCCCGACACCCATTCAATGTAGCCTCGGTACACACCCTACGACATATCACTATTAAACGGATCCATCTAACTGCAAAATAAACGGATCTGTCAAATTACAGATCCTCTTTCATCCATTTTGACTCACCTCTTTAATCAATTAAATATATAAATATAAGAACAAAATATAAATCATTATATATTTTTAGAGTGTGGTTAACTTACAATTGTAATATATCATGAAAAAGTAAAAGCCAGACCAAGTTTTCTCAAAAAAATACTAATTTACATGAACCCCAAGTTATACAAGTTGATATTTAATTGAATGCCTATTATTGATTAGAAATGCAGACATGGGTCATATCACAAGTCCCTTATTTCTGTTTTTAACATATGAATTATATCCAGGCCCCACCCAAATTGTACGTAACATCTCATCTTAGTTCTACTATGTCATTTTCTCATAATTCTGTTTCTTTTCATACTATTTTTTTCATTAAAGAAATAAAAAATGTTGTGCTCCCCATTAAATATATATATATATATATATATATATATATATATATATATATATATATATATATATATATATATATATATATATTTTGGATAGGATTGGAGGTTAAACTAACAACACAAACATGAGAATAGTTGCATCATTAACATGCCAGCGAGCTTGTTTCTATGAGAAAACTAACAGAAAAAACAATAATTTAAACTAACTATCCCAGGTGGTAGAACAATAGAAATCTTTGAATAATAATCATTTACAATACCAAATAAAAAGGAAGCAAATAAAAAAAAAAAACAAGAAGGGAAGGGAAAATGAAATTGAACTGGAAATTGGAATGGAAAGTCAAATTTCAGAAGAAATATAGCAAAACTAGAAATAATATGACTTCATGAAAGAGAGATCATGATTGATTCATGATGTCTTGGTGCATATAGCACATGTTTCTGCTTCTTCTACCTGTTGTGCAATGGATTTGGACCTGTTGGTACGAGTCTTTTGTCTTCTAACGATGTGGTGTTGTTGTCAAAGCAAGACAAGTGTCTCTTGCGGTTGCATTTGTGAACACTATCTGCAGATAGCACAGTACTAGTCTTCTTCTTCTTTGCTCCATCAAACAAATTGTTAACAAGAACAGTCTTCCTTGCCATTGTGTTGGAGCCAATACAAGCCCACAACAAAAGGCACAACACAAGTATTAGCTCAGCAATTCTCATCTCACCAAAACTATTAAGTTTAATTCAAAAACAGATAAAGAGAGGAAAGACAAGTGTTTGACTGAGAAGATGAGGTAAAAGAGATGAAGAGCGTAAGGAAGAGAAGAGAGGGAATGAAGAAGAGGAGCTGTAGCTGATATTATTATCAGGGAATAAGGTAGGGAAGGAGGGGAGTATAATAAGAGAGGGTTTATGGCTAGGAATGGGATATTAAGTATGGTACCTAGGATATGCAGTAAAAGACTTTGAATTTGATACATCACATCTATGTGGTCAGAAATTTCACCAAACCTCATTAATTGACTTCAATACTACTTGACAATGTGTAGGTTATTCAAACCAAACGGAATTTAAACATAAATGATGGGTAAAATATGGTGGCAAAAGCACAACATTCTGTTTTTTAGACACTGGTAACCTAGAGCCTAAGAATAACAAAAGACACACACACCTCTACTCTAAACACACGCACTTGGGATTAGAGAAATTCTTCTTGGGGTGGAACTTCACCACGTGCCACTACGTTTAAGGGCCATACTTGAAAAGCTGACACTCATCGATGAAAAAGGAGTTGCAGGAAAAATTAAATGGTTGGTGGTTTAATTTTGACTGTAGCATGCATTGAATTGATCAATGTCATTGCTTGCTTTTGAATCACGTCTTCTTCAATATATCTGGGTTGAGCGTTTTGATTGAATGAATGATGGAAGTGATGTTAAGCTGCAAGTTGCAAAAAAGTGTTGATGCTGGTGTTGGTTTGTGTTGTGTTAAACTTTACATGGATAGTGTAATAATATAATATATGAGTTGTTGTATGGTAACAGTAACAATAGAAACAGAGACAACCTGGGAATAGGTTAATGGGAAACCCCGGAGTTATGAAAGGACAGTTGGAGATCATTAAAGGCAGCCATTTCTGTTAGAAGAAAAGCCTTTGTTTGTTAATTATATACTGTGTTACTGTGTTGTCTAATGTCTATAGTTGATACCCCATGCATGCATGCATACATGCAATGTGTGTTCTCATATCACATTGACTTATACATAGATCATGTGATGTGACCCATAATGGTGAAGTTGATATCATCTTTATAATATGGTAGGTAAATCTATTCAGAGATGGACAATTAAAGAAAGAGGTACATCGATCACTCCATTGCATGTTCGTACCTCCAGGATTATAAATAGAATACAAAGAGGAGGAACAATGAAAAAAAAAATCAATAAAATATGTAAAAAGTATTTTTATATTAGTTTAAAATAATTTTGTATTTTACTATTTTAAAATAAAAATATTAATTATTTTTTATCAAATTAATAAAAAATAATTATTTTTTAAAATCACTCAAGAAATATTATGTATATAAATGAAATTTACACTATGGGTGATAATCTATTCAAGAATAGACTCTGAATTTCTTGTTAGGGAACCAGCTTAATATCACAAACAAATACATTTATAAAATTTGATATCAAATAATTATGTATATTTTCAAACGTCCATTATATTAGTATTTATTTTTTAAATATCAGTAAAATATATATTTAAAATAAAATCTGAAGTAGATATATTTTATAAAAAATAAAACTTAAATGTGTATGATCAGTTTTATATGTCATAATTTATTTATTCGTATCATGTTAATAATAATTTTAGATACCCGTCTTATTATTAATATTGTTTCACCAAATAATATATTTCTGAATTGTGTTGCAGCAATTATTACACACTAAAATATAATATATATTAACAATTAAAAAATATATATATTTGTTAGTAGGAAATCAATAAAGGGATCGAAAAACGAAGGAAAGAAAAAATCGAGGATCATATGATTGTTTAAAAAAATTGATAAAGTGAAAAGATGATTGGAAAACATTCGATGACCATGTAACAAGTATGGACACATAAATCGAGAATCGAATGAGGAATATTTAATGTCTATTGTGTTAGAATTAATTTAATTAATTCATTCCATTATGTGACTCATGTGAAACATAATAATGGGCCCAAATGTGATTTAATAAAATATGAGGACCTATTGGTTATTATGTGAAGTTAGAATAAAATAAAGATAAAATAAAATATTACATTACGGTAACCAACTTGATGGACGTTGGTTAATAAAATGGAATAAGGGTTCTGTCTCTGGTCATAAGGTCTTTTTCACGGTAAACCATCAAGAAAGCGAAGCGTGAGAAGAGAAAGAAAGACAAAGAGATACATTGGGAAAAGGAGATAGGAGAACGAAAAGATCAAAGAAAAGATTCTCATGGATCAAGGTTAGTCTTCTTACTATGATTCACGTATTGATGTATGTAAAATTGTGAAAATCAATAATCTAAAGATCCTGTAGAGTAGTTTTCTATAATGAATTAAGAACGTAGGAAAACTACATAATGTCTTACATGTGGTATCGAAGCATCGATTATTAGATTTATGATTTTCCTTGTACGAAAGTTTTCCCAAATATTAAGTTTTTCCCAAATTAAGATAAACCCTAATTATGAATTTAGGGATTTCTTTATCGATTAGTACGAACCCTAATTTATTCCCAAATTTATTTTTCTCAAAATTAAATAAAGGAATAAACCCTAATTATGTTTTCAAGTTCAAATTGAAACCAATTTTATAGCCTCTATGCGTGAATGAACCCGTAATTGATTTTAATTGAAAAGACAAATGACGTCATAGGGTTAAGGTGAATCATGTATGAAATTAGTTTTATTGTATGTTATAATTATGATGAGATGTTATGATGAAATGTTATAATTATGATGGAAGAATGATAAACCGTAAAGTTGATAAACTTTCCGCGTAGAGAGCACATGTTAAACACACATGTTAAACCCATATTATTTGTATATTATTTTGTACGTACATATTTTTTTTTATGTGGGGGAAGGATAATTAAAGAGTTATTTTTATGTCAAAGTGAGTTGTATAATATACTCATACTGTAAAACGGGTACTGTAAAGCTTTGTTATGGTACTGTAAAGCTTTGTTATGGGTACTATATTGTTATGGGTAATGTAAATCTTTGTTATGGGTACTGGAAAGCTTTGTTATGGGTACTATAAAACTTTGTTATGGGTACTATAAAACTTTGTTATGGGTACTGTAAAACTTTGTTATGGGTACCTTAAATTTGTTAAGGTACTGTAAAGTTTTGTTAAGGTTGTTAATGTATTATGAAACTTTGTTAAGGTTGTTAACATAATGTTTTGTTAATGTACTTGTGAAGCTTTGTTAATGTACTTGTGAAACTTTGTTAATGTAATGTGAAGCTTTGTTAATGTACCTATAATGTAAACATTGATAAATGAATGAATCTTGTTTTGCAAACTGAATTGTATTGTTTCCATTGTGTTTAAATTACTCATAAAAGTTTTCAATGAATGACAATTTCACTTTTACATGAAATGCAAATAAAGGTCTTGGATTCAAAATCAATCTTAGGATGAAAATTGAAATTATGAGTTTCAATTTTATTTATGGCACATAATATTTTATTATGTGAATAATGTACATATTTATTAAAATTAAAAAAAATGCTATGAATGGTTAATAGCAATTAAAGATATTATTTATTTGAAATTAAGCATGTTAAATTTTGTTAGTCACCAAAGTGGCCAAAATTTTAAGGTTATTTTGATTTCAAATTATTAATGATTTTATTTCAATTACCCATAGTATGAATGCTAAAATTATGAATAATGATTTATGGGTTAATTGAAGTTCTTTATTATAAGGCATTTCAGGATCACCCAAAGGTTGATTAGTTGTTATTATAATTAATGAACATGAAAGTAGATAATTTTGTGTGCGTCACTAGTTTTATTTATATACCCAAAGGTGTTAGGTGATTCTAGTTGATGCATATTTTAATTATCATTAATGTTATAAAAAGATTAGCGTAATTATGTTTGTGTATTAGTGGATCTCCCAAAGGAGAACATTAGTATGCATAGAATGGTTATTTATGTTTGAATCTGTATTTATGTTTAGTTTTTATGACTCAAAGCGTTAATGTTAGGCATGTGTTAATTGAAGTATTTGTTTATTATGTATTTCTACATTCGCTTACTTCGTCTGTTCCAGTCTTTAATAAATTAAATTCCCTGACTGGAGTAAGAAAGTCCAATTTCACTTAGGTGAGTTGGATTTTGATTTGGCTTTCTAAGTTGAAAAACCGGTTGCTATCACTAATGCTAGTAGCAACAAAGAGAAAACTCATTATAGAGTTTGGAAAAGTTCAAATAGACTTAGTCTTATGTTTATGCGAATGAGTATTGCAAGCAATATTAAGTATGTTTTTTCCAAAACTAAGGACGTGAAAGTATTTATGAAATTTGTGGAAGAGCGTTCTCAAACTGCTGACAAATCCCTCGCTGGGACAATTGATGAGTACGTTGACCACCATGAAGTTTGATGATTCTCGTAGTATGCATGAACACGTAATCGAAATGACAAATATCGCAGCAAGACTCAAGTCTCTTGGAATGGCAGTGGAAGAAAATTTTCTTGTGCAATTCATTTTGAACTCGTTACCGCCTGAGTATGGTCCGTTTCAGATGAATTATAACACCATGAAAGACAAATGGAATGTGCATGAATTGCACAGTATGTTAGTTCAGGAGGAGACCAGACTCAAGAACCTAGGAAGCCACTCTATTCATTACGTGAAAAATCAAGGAGCTAAAAAGAAAGTTGTTAAGAAACATGGAAAGGGTAAAGGACCATTAAAGATTAACGAGTCCTCTACTAACATTCAAAAGAAAAATGACAAATGTCATTTCTGCGGGAAGTCTGGACATTTTCAGAAGGACTGTTTAAAGCGCAAAGCTTGGTTCGAAAAGAAAGGTGAGCACAGTGCTTATGTATGTTTTGAATCAAATTTAATTGAAGTTCCCCATAATTCTTGGTGGATTAATTTTGGATGTACGACTCATGTTTCTAATATAATGCAAGGATTCCTTTCAACCCGAACCATAAACCCAAATGAGAAGTTTGTCTTCATGGGGAATAAAGTCAAGGTTCCAGTGGAAGCTGTTGGGACTTATCGTTTAACCCTTGACACTGGATATCACTTAGACCTTATGGATACTTTTTATGTACCTAGTATCATTAGAAATTTAGTTTCTTTGTCTAAGCTTGATGTTGTTGGATACTCTTTTAAGTTTGGGAATGGTTGTTTCAGTTTGTTTAAGCGTACTTCTATGATTTGATATGGTTAGGAGTATGTTAAGTAATTCATGTTTACCTGTATCGTTGTGGATGTATGCTTTAAAGACGATCATGTATTTGTTGAACAAGGTTCCTAGTAAAGTTGTTCAAAAGATTTTTGAGATATGGAAAAGTAGGAAATCTAGTTTGAGACACCTGCTTGTTTGGGGTAGTCAGACAGAAGTAAGAATTTATAATCCACAAGAAAAGAAACTGGATGCAAGAACAATCAATGGATATTTCATTGGTTATCCAGAAAAATCAAAAGGGTATATGTTTTACTGTCCTACCCATAGTATAAGAATTATTGAAACTGGAAATGCTCGGTTCATTGAAAATGGTGAAACTAGTGGGAGTGGAAGCTTCACGAAATGTGGAGATTAAGGAAGTTAGAGTACAAGTTCCCATAAAAGGTACATCTACTTCAAGAGTTGTTGTTCCACATGATGTAGAACCACACAACAATCAAGAAGAACAATAAATTAATGATCCCGAAATTAACAATGAACCGATAATAGAACAACCACAAGAAATAATATTAAAAGGATCTCATAGAGAAAGAAAGTCTGCTATTTCGAATGATTACATGGTTTATCTACAAGAGTCAGAAAATGACTTAAGTATTGATAATGACCCAGTTTCATTTTCAGATGCCATTAATGGTGATAATTCTGATAAATGGTTAG